CTCCGCTGTTAGCAATGCACATTTCAATTAAAGGACGGAAGATATCATTAGAAAATGAACAAATCTGAGAGTGGTCTACCTGTAGTACCTATATGTATAATATCAAAGCAATCGAAAAGAAGTCGAAAATATAACTTTTTACCAAAAATGACAAAAATATCAAAATTAGAGAATTAAAGATATCATCACGAAAAGAACAAATCTAAGAGAGGTCTGCTGAAGGTACATACAACTGTATACACCAAGTATCACGTTTTCTAGAAGTAGTTGAAGGAGTAAAAAGTTGACATGAACGACGGACAATCACTCATATGATGAGCCCAGCTCGACAAAGTCGCCAGCGAGCGAAGCTAAATATCTGAGAAAAATTTGGATTGTGCCCATTGCTGTTCCATGCATGGCGCCCACATAAAATACCGGTATTCAAATACTATTGTAATGCATACATTATGGTCGCAACTGATTTTATATTTTATGCTGAAGTTTTAGCAAGAAATCACAGAGAAAAAGTCAAAACAAATCAGCAAAAAGCTTACTGAATGTGTGAACCTGTAAACAACTTAATAAACCTGTAACCAACAAACCCTGTAATATGAATAAATAGTTGAACCAATAAATGAAAAATCTGGTAGCGTATACATTCACTAATATATATGTGTAGTGATGCTTTAGAAAGGAAAGTGTATGTAACCTAGAACATTATAGTATCATTCATAACATCATGTATATTAAATAATGGTTACACTAAAACATTTGTATCAACTAGTGGGGTGTAATTTAAGCCCACTTCTCTTTAACATATTTATAAATGACTTATCTGATAATATATATTCAAATCCAAATCCAATATTGTAATATTATCAGATTCAGAGACTCCAAAATAGTATTAACAAATTAAACAGTTATTGTGAAAAGTGGAAATTACAGGTAAATATCAATAAAACTAAAATCATAATATTTAATAAAAAGGGAAGAATCATGAGTCATAATTTTAAGTTTTATTTAGGTAATAGGCAAATACAGATAATTTCCACTTGTATACTATATAATGATTATTTGATATCAATAATTGACAAGGGACACAGAGACATACTCAAAGTTCGGTTTGAGAATAAATTAACTGGGTGATTTCCTAGTTTTTTCCTGTTATTTGCCACCTGAAAATTCTCCTTGAGGAAGAGATGCAAATGCATTTTTTAGTCACCTACTTAGTCAGCTTTATATGACAGATGATGTTGATACAATTATTATGTGGTGATCTCAATGCTCGTTTGGTAAATTTGAATGATAATATTGATGTAGTTGATAACATTAGGAATAAACACG